GATGTTCGACGTCACGGAACGACTTTAGTCGCGCGGGTTCGAGTCGTAAAAATGACTCCCGCGGCACCACGAGTAAACTGTAACGGAGCTGGCAACACGGAGGGAGCGTAATTGTCCTAATTAAATTCACGACACCGGCGCTTTCGCAGAGAAGTTTTAATGAAACGTTAGTGGAACTGTACGGCCCCGAGGAAACGGTGAAACCAGCCGTCATCCACGTTTCCATCGTTCTATCGCGTCCATGCTACCTTTTTCCAATTTCATCCAATCTCTTTTCTGTAATTTACCGTTGTAGATTACCGTAGATTACTCGCAACAGATAAGATATCGTCTTGTCACGATTCAGACGATATTCAAATCGTTACGAATATTAGTATCGATTTGTAGATAGTAAGTAGCGTTAACGGAAGACGCGAAGGATCAGCGGAAGAAAATGCTAAAAGGTTTCTTCTGTACTAACAGAACGAACAGCGGCTGAGAGTTGACTAACGGAAGATTGGTTGGTTTTTTCTTTTTTATTTTTTAATTTCTATAATTTTACAATTTGTCCAGCTGGACATTTGATCAATTTTTCTAACTTAATTGCCAAATAACATGTGAATGGCTACCCTCAGCGGGATACGATCTTCGAGTTTGACTATTTTATTTCTTTACTGAGGTCAGTGGGGTGTTTTCTTTTTAGTCTTCTTTCTATGAGAGTTTCATTCGCTTCAGCAGCCACCTGGTTTGGATGTGTTGCCGTTCTTTCCTTGTATTTTTCTGCGTGCCTGCCGGTTTCTTCTTTAACCGTTGGTATTTTTAAGTCTTTGCAGATTGGTTGGTTATCCACATTTTAGAAATCAAACAGAAACGGACCATGCTTCTGGTCCTCTTGGTTCGCAAACATTCAAAATGTCCTGTTCTCCCGCGATGAATTTTATAAGCGGAAAAATTCAGTCTTTAAGAACCATTGTATTTATTTATTTCAAGAAATAACCGCAGTTTACGCAGTCAACGTCTCTATGTTAAAATTTCCGGGTTATACTCTCTTCTTATTTCTTAGCCGACTTACCTTACGATCTAAAATACCAATTTCTACATTTTACACGATCTAGAGTCTCGCAGTTCCATGAATGATCTTTTACACACGTCACCTTGTGTATTGCACGTTTTGAACGGGGAAATGTTGGCTGCAGCAGCTGGAGAACGCTGTCACAGTCGATCCAGTGGACAAAAAGGAGTCGAGCGCGCTTTCATTAGAAGGAACAGCGGTCGTAAATTTAATTGGACCGAATTTAGTTCTTTAATTCTTAGCGGCGCGTGCCGCGAAAAGGCGAGCCCCCATTGTGTCGCGGGCTCCTCTCCGTAAACCTTAATAACGAGAATAATAGATCCACCTAACACACCTGGTGCTCGCGAAAAATCGGTCTTCCGATTTCGTTGCCAGTCATCTTTATACGATGCTACAATAATACGTAAGATATTCTGTTGAAGTGGATCCCACTTCCAGCAAAACTCCGCATCTTTTCTGATGTTTAGTTTTCTTAGTCCTCAAAGCCATTGAATATTGTTTATCACTAAATCAATTTCAAGGGCCTCTCAGCCCCATAGCCTTTTCTAGGAACACGTTTTGCATAAATGATGCAGTCGGTTACAGACAGGGTAGTTTTCGTAATTGTATAAATACCCATAGCCAGCGTGCGGATCTTCACTAGCATACACATTGTACTTATACTTAACACTAGAACTACCGATAGTTAACACAAAGCTATTTCTACCAAAACCAGTGAAAATCACTGGTCTTTAAAAAATACGTAATAACAGAATATTTTTACATGAAGTAGGAATTTTATAATAAAATTGTAAAACCAGTCAATTTAATTGGTGTGGTAGTTCTAGTGTTAAACTTACTTAAATATATTTCTACTATACATTCGTCCACGCATTCCATATGCAATATTGTCATATTTTTGGGATAACAACTATTCATTTATCTTATTGTTAAGATCCGTGTTACCACCTGCGCGAGAAGTGTCAATCTCCAAGTGTCAATTACTTGGGTTGAGGTCTAAAGTTGCTGATGGTTTTGATCTACGATCAACGATACCTGGGATGGTCGACTCGTCTTAGAATTACCATGTCCTTTGGGGTTTCCCACGACTATCTCGCTTAGATCGTTGAGTGGTTAGCATAAACTTAGTTGCCATTATACAGGTTTGTACGTGATTTAACGCGTCTCGTTGCCTTTTAGCTCTATCGAATCTTCTTGCTATTACACCTTGCTATCGCATTTTGCTATTGCATCGATCATTCTATCGAGAACGCGTTACTTCGCAGCAACGGAGATTAACCGGCGAGGCAAGATCGTTTGTCATCTTTAATGCTCGTCTTCCGTGGTTACCGTGGATGTAGCATTGCAGGAGATAAATCTTGCTGCTTGCCATTTTTCATTATTCTCGGACTCGAGAAGGGAATTTCGGAAAAAAACAGTTGCTTGTTATTCATCTGACGGTAATTCAGAATATCGAGAAGACTTGGTATCGTTTTGCCTGTTCTCAAGAAGTAATTTCCAAGCATGATCCTAATATTTCATTATCAAAGATACAAGCTGTCAGAACCGATGTTTCGCGCGGATAATTTATCATTCTTGTTTAGAGTTGTTCGTCTTGAACACCTACGCTGGTCTCGTTGAATACGAAGCTGACAGCTACTCGAGTAAACGAAACTTGAACGTCATCTTACAGACTTTTTTGCTACCTTATATTTCACAATATTTCACGAATATCGAGATTAAAGTGAAAACCGGAGCAGCTCGAGTTTGACAACATTCTTCTGTCCACTGATCCTTCCGTAAAGAGGATTTCTTCGTGATAATGGCTTATCAAGCTTGTCTGTCGTAGTTTTTGCGCCAACTCGTGGAAACTTTTTGCGTTAGGGTAGACTTTAAAAGTCGCTCGAGATCGAAGTTGTCGGTGGCTACACGTTCCCGGAGATATTACAATTTTATTCATTCGCGAGATTCGAATGCTTTACAAGGAAGAAACAATGGAATTTCGACTCGTGAAACCGGACAATCGTTGCTCCTCGCTGCTCAAACTGAAATGCTGGCGATCGCACGAAACGTCTGCTATGTTTGTGTAATATTTGTTAACGTTTTCTAAGGTTCAGTCGAATTACTTTTAAGGACCGCGAATTTGTCCGACAAATATGTAGAGGTTTATGTGTAGAGGATGGTTGGTTGGTGAGGTTTAATGAACGAGATTGCTCGTTGTTGAAACCGTCGAATATATTTAAAATGATAAATTAGTATACAGATAATGTTCGCAAAGATGCTCGTACTAACCGATTCGCTGAGACAGTGTATAAGTCGTAAAATAGGATCGCTAATGACTCGTTAATTAGATCGCTGATAATTCGTTGATAACTGGTTGATAACTGGTTGATAACTGACTTTAACTCATTTCCTTGCGATCGTGTCCGCTTATTTATACTGGTCGAGGAAGAGTCGGAAAATTCAAATTCGTCTTTGTTCGACGGTTGCACGTAGCAGCGGCGTTGTTTTGCTCGGAGTTTATTTATTCTTACATTGCGTGTGTCCTAACGATCTTGATATTCCGAGGCAAAACAACAACATGATTTGAATTGTCCTCTAACTCATGTGCCGCTACAAATATTTCGACGCAAACATTGCTCATAAGCTGCATTGGAATAGCTGGTCGAACGATTCGCGAAATTCTCGATACACAGGGTATTACGGGAACAGACGGGAACCAGATGTCCGCTCATCCTTACTGCGTACACTCAATGGATCCATCGTAAATCTCAGGAATTTGCTAGCTAAGGTTCTACAAACCGAACAAATATCTTTGTTTCTAAAGCATTTTCTGTAGATTATTGTCTACTACAGCTTGACACGGGAAGGTTAGGTTTTCTCACTTACGATGCTTCCCACTAGCAACTTTCTATCGAGGGTGGCTAGGACCCTTCCGAGTCCACCAACCCTCGTTTATCGAATCAGAAGCAATGTATACTGCCCTCACTTTTCTGACCAAAAATGTCATGAACAAATCCGATGATCCTGTGCGCTAGACACATCCATCGTTAACTTTCTTCTGATCCAGTATCGTCGCTGTATTTTACTTATTCTACAACGTTAGAATAGTCAACATGTCAGTACCGGGTTAGTTCGTTTTCTGTCTTTTCCCTTATTGCCACGTCAACTCTAAGAGCCTTGCTCGATCACCAACGAATATTGTGCCAGTGTATCGCATCTCTATACGCTAAATCATTGTCGACGATATACAGGGTGGTTGGTAACTGGTGGTACAAGCGGAAAGGGGGCGATTCTATGCGAAAAAAGAAGTCGAAAATATAGAATAAGTCCAAAATATAGAATAAAAATTTTTCGTTTGAGGCTTTTTTTCCGAGAAAATCGACTTTGAATTTTGGCTCGGTACGCGTGCGGTACGTTATAACGGATTTCACTGTAGATCGTTGTTTCGATGGAAAAATTAAAAACAAAAAATAAAAAAAAATTTGTATTCTATATTTTCGACTTCTTTTTTCGCGTAGGATCACCCCCTTTCCGTCTGTACCACCAGTTACCAACCACCCTGTATACCATAAGCAACGGTGCAACTTAAGTGTTAAAAATATAAATTTTATAACCCTGTTAATCGCTAATCGTTGCCCTCTCAAACACCTCTATTATCTTAACGGAAATCAGGGGGTCGATCAACTCGTGGTGTCGATTTTTATAATCGTAACGGGAATTTACGACTCCCGTTGACGTGTTTTTTCGTGACTTCGTCTCCCCGCGATTGGTCGAAAATACACAGGGAACAATCGGAGGAAATACAAGACAGACTGGACTTGAAATCGGAAGATAAGGTAAACGAGAAGCTTTTGAGAATAAAAGGGCGAAATGGAGCATGTAGTGGTCCGGTTTCGAAGCTGTATTTCAGAATTGGAGTCCGTAAGAGGATTCTACGATAAAGGGATTCGCCGTCTGGCCGCGGGGAAATAAAAATAAATAGTTTCGTTTAACGACGAGTCGATCGGCTTTCGACCGTCTGCTCTCGCCTTTTCTCTAGCTTGTCTCGCTTTTTGTCCGGATATCGAAACGCTCGTAACAATAAAAGAGAGAAAAGAGGCAAACCAGCCGTTTGTCGTTGCAACGTCGTTGAATTATCGCCGATGATAAATCGTGAGTGCATTTTTCAAACTCGATACAGTCGAATGTTAAATTTCCGCGAGTGGCCGAGGTATTGTGTGTGGTTAAGCTAAAAGCATAAAATTCGCCATGTAACCCGTTCGACCTGATCGATCATCTGGAGTTCGCGTTGAAACCAGTGCCGCCCTATCTGTTCTCGATTACACGATCGACCCTCGTTGAGCCTTCGTTGTACCGCGATGTCGATTCCAAACATCGCGAACGGCCTATGGCGCCCAATACGTAGCAAATTGAACCGTATAGCTATAGAAAGGAAAGAAAAATGGTTATTCGTTGAGAAAGTCATTGGAGCTTGCAGGACAAACTTGTAGAAAGATGGTTGGAACCAAACCTAGATATTTATTCGATCAGATAATACGTAGTTACTTCTACTAACCGAGACACAGCCACTCATTCTGCAAACTTTACCGCTATATAAACTTTCTGCTTCGCGTTAAACGACGTCAAGGAGTTAATCGAAAATACATCTTAGACTCTGAAATTTTCAACGACCTATACTAACCTATATTCCGCTAAGTTCTCCAACTTTTCTTGTCCAAGATTTGCTAGCACGAGTCTCTCGTACCATTCGTTCTCTCCAATGAGCGGCTATCTACACATAAAGAGGATCATAAAAAGGACCGTACGTTTATCCTTATTACCGCAGCCGATCCAAGAACTCTTTAGTACTACCTGTTAAACTCTAAACGAGTTTAAGCAATCTCCGATCCAGTCTTGCCGCAAGATCCAGCGAAACCGATTTATCGAGCCTACGATAAACGTCGGTTTAAGTCTAAAACAGAGGATTTCATTCGAAACGCGTGCGATTCGCTTCATCCATTGGACTTGGACAGAAGCACGTGTCGCGGACGAGAACACGTCCTAAGGACAATCCTTCGTTGCGATCAACGATGAAAGCCATACACGTTGTTCGATCGTTCAATTACGAGCAAGAGAAATCAAAGCGTCGTCCGTTTGCACGCCACGTATACGATCGAGCTGAATCTTGTTTGTCGAGAGAACTGCTGTGCCATTACGACGTATTTCCAATGACTACTGCACACCGATCGCTTTGATTCACGAATCTTCTCCGAACAAACAACATTCTTCGTCCCGTTTCTTTGCCTCGACTTCCGTGGCCAGCATCTTTCCTTTCGAATGGAGATCTTTTTTTTCAGGAAAATTGATTTCTCAGGAAAATAGCTGTGGAAGATCGAGAAGCTACCGACTCTGCGATTCGTTCACTCAAGAAATGCAAATATCAGAACTTGTTGAAAGTTTTGGCTGGAAATTTGAAGATCCAGCCAATGGATGCGTGGAGGGATGGGAATGTTATAAACGAGAACGAGAAATGAAACGAGTTTCTACACAAGTTTAAACTACACGCGAATGTATAAATGTGAAATCGAATTTAAATCGAAAGCCTTCTCGCCCTCCGCTCCGGTTTGTTGTACCAATGATCGATTCTTCGTCGATATATTCTTTATCCGCGATAATTTGTCGATGAAAGTGACCAATTAGACTTTGCCGATTCCGACTCGAAGGTATCGTCTTTTTTTTCGATTTACGTTAATTACTCAGTCGAGGCTTGATCCGATATCGCTCGACCCGATATTACGATCGCCTCGTGCCAAGGCAATAAATCGCGGCCGCGTTTCGGCCCGCGTTTCACGAAGGGAAGGGGGAATTTGACTTTTTTTTAGCTCAAAATGCATGAGATTTTCCCCTATTGGCCATGTTCCATTCACGTTGGACGTTTCGAGGATCAGATCCTCGAAGAGGAGAAAAATCCGTATCGTTTAATCGCACGAAGCAAACGTTGGGAAAATGGATCGAGGTGTCAGCGAGTTGAATATTAAAGTAGTGAAAATCAGTATCGTTCCTTTAGTCTCGCAACTAATAAAATTAAATTACAACACGGAAGAATACAACGAATCGTTTTAAATAGCAAACACAGAGCACATTTTCGTGAAAAATAACGGTGGTTCTTTGCACTTTTCGTTGGATTTTTCATTTTAAAATCTCGTAGAGACCCGGTGATCGTTCTCGGCGTAACTCGTGGTGGCTTGGTACCATCGCGTGAGAGAAACAAGCTAGAGACAAAATTCGTACGTTGCTAAAGCGCAAAGAGCGTACAAAGAGCGAGATGTACTGGAAATCACGCGGACCAGAAAGGGCGCGGGTAATGTGTTTACTATTCGAAGTAGTCGTTGTATTCTCTGGGTATAGCGGGCACATTCGCGTTGTTCGAACGTTGCGGATGCTTGAAATCGTGCATGAGCCTGTCGTTTGTTCGAAATGCTCCAACCAGTCGCGAAATGTTTGTACACGTGGAACTCGACGGTTCTTCGAACGAACAGTTTTCTAATTTAGCGGATATTTCTTTACAGTGACGATGATGAACGTTTCTTTCACGCGTTCCACGTTTTCGATCGCAGTGATCGTTTTTCAGCTCGATTCGACAACGCGAATCGGATGAGATTCTGTCAATAATCGTTTGCTATTTTGCGTCACGGTCGTGTACAACGAATGATTCGCGGAATGCTTAATGCCAATGCATCTGCTCGTGTTGGAATTACCAAACGTCTGTAACAAAGACCGGTGATTTAGAAAATACCTTGAACGATATCCCAAAATCCATATTTCAGCCACTTATCGTCGTTTACCTTCGTCGAGGCCAATTTTCCCGAATCGATATTAACAAGCGTCTAAAACGAACGATTCGCGTCCGTAGGGCGCATCTTCGGTCGGACGCGTACCCATGAATCACGAAAGCGGAGAATCAGTGAGCGGAATCCGGTGAAACTTTAATCGTTTCGCAACCGCCCTATGACGGGTCTCTCATCAAACTTTCATCGACGTTCATCCCTATCAGGCCGCGCAGTTGCCATTTAAATAAAAAGTAGGACGTAACTATAGCCGTGGATAGACCGCACGTTCTCGGAATTATTGATAGAAATCGTACTCTTCGCTCTCCACCAATTAGAACGATTGGAAATTTCGAAAGTGCGGCGTCGAAACGTATCGACGTCGTCCCGAAGTGAAAGACGTGCACGACGAGAAGAAAAGTCACGTGATATCCGGTTTACGTACAGGTACCAGCAAACGACGAATTAGATGAAATTTTATTAGCGACGAAGAGTGGAAACGCACGAAACGTAACAAACTCGTTTGACAAAAAAAGCGAAAGGAAGAAATAGCCGCGAAAAGAAAGTCTGCTGAAAATAGGCGGAACGTAAACGAAGCTATCTAAAGTAAAGCATCGAAGACACGTAGAGAACAGATTCGAACCGAGAGGACGTAGAAGTAATAAGCACACCGGTGGTAACAACGATAAGCAGCATGAAGCAAGTTCGCCGTGACAAAATGAGAAACTACAGCGTGGTTGGTGAAGAAGCAGAAGCATAGAAAGGTAACGAGGTCCGTGGTGGTGGAGAAAATCGTAGAAGAAAAGCGGCGCGTTGGAAGGAAAGCGGCGCCGCGCCGGTGTAAACTGTCGACGGGAGTATAAACCGGGAGCGCGCGAAGCTCGGACGAAGATAGCCAAACGTTCGTTTAACGGGGTCGATAGAGACGGTGGAAACCAGTTCGAATGTCGAAGGAAGGAAGGGTAGAGACCGCGAAACCCGAAGAGAGACGGAGCGAGTGGCGCACGGTAAAGCCATAGGGAGGGAACGAGAAAGAAAAGGATAGAGGGAGAGAGGGAGTTCCTAACGTAGCGTTAGCGAGTGAAGCAGTGGGGTGGCCAGAGTGGGTGACGGGTTAGGTCGGGTGGGTGGCAGAGGTAGCTACCCAGTGGGTAGTAGTAGGTGCGCACCCTACGCGGATACCAGGTGAGTGGGGCAGAGAGAGCAACCAACCCCCGGGACAAAACGCGAAAAACCACTTGTGCGTCTCCATCCTGACGATCGGTGGCGTTCTACGATATCGCTCCACTCCTCCCGTCTGTCTATCGCCCTTCGGTCGTTTGGTTGCTCGTGGTTCGGTCAGTCGGTTGGAGGTTGTCGTTTCGACTTCCACCACTGTCACTCGGGTCTAACGTTCAAAGGCGATCCTTCGCCCGCGTCCAGTTGGAATTCGATCGCGAACCGCGGTAGTGCGACTAACCCGAGGGTTTGGTTCGTCCGCACGAGCAGTATCCGTCTTCTGGATTCGGATCGAACAGTGGGAAGATCGGCGAACGAAATCGTGGAACTCGATTCACGGCGTCTCGAAGGGTGAAACTGTCGATATACGGGAGAGAGGAGACCCAGGCAGCGTGCGATGCGAGGAGCAGCCTTCATCGATCCAGCTTGAACCGGGGGTGAGCTGACACTGGCCGGGATCCTGAACCGCCGATCCAGCCACGTGATCCATCGGGGATCGAGAGCAGCAACCTCGTGTGCGCGTCCGGTCTTTCGAATCTCTTTTCTTTTTACTCGTTTTCTGCCAGTTGGCTCGAGAGAGGCGGGCAGTGGTGTTGCGCGTCAAGAGGAAGCTGGCTTCTTCGGGATGATCTCAGGTGATTCCTTTTCTCTCCTCGTTGCTTCCCGAGGAAACATCTCTCCTTGTCTTTTTTTATGGCAAGTTGGAGATGTTATACGTTACGGATCGATGAGTTCGAGGAGCGTTGAAGACGAGACCCGATGAAAATTTCACGAGCTTCCTCGTTCAGGATTTACTTCATCTTTTCGACGTGCATATAAATACGTGTCGGATGGAAGAAATACGTAGATATAATCTTGCTCGGAACGTCAGATCCTTTTCCTTGGATCGATCGATGATTTATCTCCTTCCTATAACGCACTCCTGTTTGTTTGTTCGCTTCTCACAATTTTCAACCGAATTTTACGTCAGCGCGATCTAATCCGAGCGACGTGTAATTGGTTAGGCAGATGCGATGCGATTACTTGTTGCTCGTTACGGCGCCCTTTGTTCCCTTGTAATATTCTAAAAACATTTTGCTCGTTTGAGGTTCGCTGGTTTAATTGCTCCACTTTGTTCGCGGTTCTCGTTAATAAAGCAGGCACGAATACAACGCACGAGATCCTCGCGAACAACGCATATCGTTGTCGTTAAAATTAATCGAATCTGGCTTTTCCAGGTCGAATAGGCGCAGGCACGATTCCAGATAGTATGGCCGATATTTTCATCGAATTACGTTCAACAAGTGTTCGTTAAATTTCACTATTATTGTATTAGAGTGTACTTTCTTTTTTACAATAACAAATAAATCGTTATTATGTGTTGGTCGCGAAGAAGTTATAATTCGTATGAAAAGAAAAATACCGAGTACCCTTCTTCTCTGGCAGATTTAGTCTATTGAGGGAAACGGCGAGCAGCACGCGACAGGCTGTCTACGTTGTTTGGGAAAGTATCTGCGCTCGATATAGGTATTGTATGTGTAAAGCCTCACAGGCGAAATATCGTTTTGCCCGATAAAATCGTGTAACGTGTATGAAATTGATACTGCAGATGGTTGCAGCAGAAACAATATCGCTCCGTTCGTTTATATTGTTAAAAGTTATTGTATCACAGTTCTAGGTTCCTTAAGCTCTTCTTCGATATGGCGTGGATCGTAGATAGTTTTTTCGTCAACTTTTCTTCCTCGATAGTTTGTAATATTTCTCGAGCCCTCGATTGGAAGGCGAAATTGCAACGATACACAGAATGAAATTTATCCGAGCTCGAGCAGTGAAAAAGGAAAAGCAATTCAGCGAGTTCGTTCGTTTCGGAGCAAATAGATCACCGTACAGAAGTCGCACGTTATAAACGCTGGCTGTGGTGTATGCACATCCAAGTTTTACATGTCGATACAATATGACACAAACAGGGTGGGATCAACGTAACGCGTGATCGATCAGTGACGCGTTGATGAAATAACCAGCTAAAGTTGACCCTTTCCGCCGTATCGCATCAATGTCACCCGTTCTACAGATTGATTTTTCCGCCAAAATATTATCGAATAATTTCGATAATATTTGTCTCTTTTCACGTAACAGCGAACACAAAAATATTTTAATTTCTTTTCCTCCGTACGTTGTATTCGATGCGTTGCAATTTTATTTTCCGCCCTACTTTTCTGATTTGCTGCAACTATATCCACAGGGACCAAAATTATATCGCGTAATCGATCACACCCGGGTGTCATCGAATCAACCGAATGACACAGTTTCCTTGTACCTCGTACCGGGGATTAATTTTTCATCGGGAACACGTGTTCCGTGTATCATCCCATTTTCATTATTAATTCTCCGCTTGTACCGATGCTAACTCAAACTCGGTTCCGTTTATCCAAAAAAATTCCCGGATTCGTTGAAATAAAATCGAACGAATCTACGTTTCGGTCGAACTTCCGAAAGTCTGTTTCAATTCCGTCCATGCGAACTGGACGTCAGTTTACCCTAAGTGGAAAGTTTTCATCGAAAGCTGGTGCGCATAAATTAAAAGTTGGTCGAAACGGTGGTAATATGAGAATCGAAAATATCCATGATACCGGAAGCGGCCGGTTGACCCGATTGACCCGGTTGCTTCGTTATACCGTGGCCACTGTTCAATTTTTCCTCAAAGTCGGTCTAAATGAAGATCGATGAGCGTCCCCAAGCGTTCTCGAAAACGGCCGGAAATCCATTCAACTTGCTTGGGAACGCCCCTTCCGTGTTTCACCCTTGGAACAGGTCGATCGAACAATTCCCAGCGAATATAAAAGCAGAAGTTTTCATTGTTTGAACCCCTGCTCTTCTATGCTACCCTCTGTTCGATCGTTTCGCTGGATTTCTTTCGCGAATACGATTATCAACGATCGACGATTAGAAGAAAGAATCGTAGTTGGTGTGTGCCACGCTGATTCGTGTTGTTCGCGTTGCACTCGTGTGTGCATCGGAAAGATTCGTACGAGGATCTTGCGCCTCTGCGAAACCCATGACGTTTTTGTTGGAGTCGTTGTTGCGCCACCGTATCCCGAAGAAGCAAAGCTCGATCGAACGACCATCGTGAAACACACGAACAACAAACAAAGTTTTCTTTGCATTTACGCTTCGTGCCCTCGATTTTATCCGAAGAGAGTTTCGAACAGAATACATAGAACCGCGTAGGAAACACACGATGGGCCAGCGAAACTTTTTCAGATAATACCGTCGAGCCTCCATCAACGATCGCGTGATCAGTCAACAAAGAAAAGCCATTGATCTCTACGGACAAAGTGACAAACAGGTAATTTATCTAATCATGTATCGAGCCTGTTATCGTCGCGATGACCAAACAATTTCGTAATTAATTCTCGGTTCGACGTTTTTATCAGTCGATCGTGGAGAAGCCATCGTAAAAGAAGGAGCGGAGAGGATCGGCGAGTTGTCGCGTGGACACGGTGTTACAGCATCGAGCGCGGGAATAGCAACTGTCGTGACGATAAATCGGCACAAGTGCGGGGTTGGATGTTATCGAGGTTGGTGTCGCGCGGGTGAAAAGCGAAGAACCGGTGAACGGAAGAGGACTCGATAAGCGAATCGGAGTAGGGGACTATGAGCAACTCCGGAGCTATTCCTCTGATCTTGGTGAAGAAGGAGCAGCTCGTCGAAGGCAAGTACCGCGTTTAGTCTTTTTCTCATTGTCGCCGGCTCGATTGTGCGATCGGGGCTACGGACAGACGTCCCATTGTCCCCTGGCGGATGTTCCGCTCTTCCAACAGAGGAAATGATATTAGGCCGATCGTTATCGACCGATCGATCGGCCTAGATCCGCGTCACCGAAGTTTCTGCCTGTCTTTTGTTACGATCTTTCGTTTCATTTTTGGTTTGGGCGTATAATAAAATAACAGCGCAGAGAAATTTAGATGTTTTATTTCGATGGATTTTTGTTGGATTATCAAATTGTTGGAATTTTTAATTTAAAGATCGTTCCGAGCACTCTTGCTCTTTTTCGATAGTTAGGATGACCGTGCGAACGCAGACGGTATGGTTATTTTAACCGATAACAGAAACGATACACGAATTTTAGAAGTTCTCTCTCCGCGTGGCTGCCAATTCGTGACGTTTATTTCGCGAAAGTTCGCGTTTGCTCGGAATATCGTGGTTTTCTATCTAAAGCGTTGCTTTGAAAACGAGAAGTTGCAACGTGTAGCTGGCATGAGAATCAGCGTTTTCCGCGGAATTTTCTGTCGTGAGCGCGTCGACGCGAGCCACTCGTGCCAACGCGGCGCCAAAAAACTCTCGCCTATTCACGAGTAACGAAGAAAATCATACTGCTCCATTTTTATATCGAGAGTCTCGTTCATTCTACATTTTTCTACCGCCTTTTCAAAATTCGTCTTCGTTTTCCATCGAACATTCGTAGCTCAGACTATTTGTGTCTCACGCTACAGACGTGTACGAACAGAGGCGCTGTTTCTTCGTTTTTAGCTTACAATCGCGACGTGAATTTTATATTTCGTCTACCCTGGTCGAAAGAAATTTTCAGTCTGACCACGATTTTTTTACTCTACGTAAGAATTCTAGGTTCGATAATTAATCGCTTATTCTACTGGCACGCGCAACATCTCTCGCCGATACGTTCCACGGCGAAGTTAACGTCGTTCTGTTACTCGTAAATTTCCATCGTGAAAGCAGCTCCTTTACGATTTCTCGCGTTGGACGTTCCTCTGGCAAAGCTGCCAGTTCGCCTGTATGAAAACGCTACAAGCCAACCGACCAATCCCCTACCGATAAGCTTAACGGATTGGCTTTCGACGATTTATCCTCTGTTACGGTTGTGTGGGTGTCTTCGTATAAAAATTCGTATACAGTGAAATTGCTCGAAACATCCCTTAGCTCCGTCGAATAGAAACGTTTACGAATCTATTTTCCCCTTTTGTTTCTGTCAACTTGTACACTCGAGCGTTCGCGTTCGTCATCGGATAAAAACAACGTAAATTTAACGAGGATTTCCACTGGGCGCTAATGAAATTCGGGATTATCCTCTTCTCGATAATCTCGCGCATTGTTTCTGCCATTGTACGGCCAGGAACAATGGCGAGCTGCTTTTACAGAAATCCTCTTTGGATTACTTGCGCCCAACGTGTCCATGATAATAACGGTAGCTCGTGAAACTCGTCTTGAAGCGAAAACGCGTCGCGTTTTCCTAGAAACTTCCAACAGAGAGAGAATAGACGTGGTAAAACGATGTTTTTGCCTCTACCAGTGACAGAAAGTCGGTGTAAGAAGGTTTGACACGAGATAATCGATACGCCACATCGTCGTATATCTTGACGTTCGATTCGCGGATTCCAGGTTTGCCCAGGATTTAGGCTACGAGATTTAAAATTACGCGGTCCGTGGAAAACTTGGGAAAATGATAAAGCTCGCGAATGTTTAAGCAGTTTGGTAAATATGGTAGGTTCTGGGTTAGTTAACGAGGTTTCTTCCTGACATTTATGACTCTTGGAGTTCTCGGAAATGGTAGCTTAAAGTTTGAGGAAGTGGGTTATATCTTTTCCGAAAGATATGCTTCTATCTGGTATGCTATCGGGTTTAAGAAATAAAGGTAGCAACGACGACTCTTTTAAGCTTTAGGACTTTCACCCACAGATTCCAATATCCGAACATCGAGAAGAAGGGGAGAACTAGATCAAAAGAAATGAAATATTTGAAATTACACGTCACTAGAAAGCAATCGAGATTAAACGTATTGTACGCGGAGCGCTCGAATTTCGTTTTCCTTTAAACGATATCGTTTCGTTGGAAGCGGTTTCTCGAGTGTCCTGGTGATTTACACGCCAGCTGATATCTAGAGAGCGTAGAAAACGGCGTATTTTAAACCATCCAGTAGAAGAGAGATACGTTTTCCCGGCCGTAAGTAACCCGAGCTAAGTTAAATCGGTCGATCGTTAATCTTTAAAGCTTCGCCAACCACATTAATGACCGATAGACGAACACCTTTTACGAGCTATAGCGAAGTTTCATTCGAAGGACGAATCGATGAGATACGGAACTTGGCGGAAGTAATGGAGTGATCGTGCTGCTTTTCGTCACGACGGAGGAAATGGCCAGGAAAATTTGAATTACGCGCCCATGGGCTCTTGTAAAATCGCTGATCTTCGGTAGGGTGTCCGAGGCAAGGACAATAGCAGATAAAAGTAGAAACCATGGAACAAGAAACTAAAGTTATCTAGGAAGAGAGGTAAAAATAAAAAAGGAAACTTGAGAGAAGAAAATAGAGAAGATTTTTCTAAATTACTCCCGGTGTACATGGACTGGCAGGTAAAGTCGATAGCTTATTTGCTACAGTGTTAATTCCTTTATCGTAGTCCTTCCATCGACACGAACTTCTTATTAATTCCCCTCTTTTCTCGAGGAAATTATCCTCATTAAAAATTTCACTTCACGTTCGACCGCGCAACTGTCTCTTAAATCTGAAACTTCCTTAACGTCGACGCTCTCCGATCTCATTCCCCTGTTTCGAAATATTCCAATATTGGAACATCTTCATCAAACAGCCGATAGTCGAAGGGCAAATTGCTCGCCAAAACACCACTTTATTCCAGCGTTTCAGTTTAAACGATGATCAGGGACAAAGACATCGTGATTTCTTTGAGCCGCGGATGTCGAGAGTGGCATTAATGCTTAAACGAGCCGCGATTGTCGTCGGATTTCGTTTCGACGATGCTCGGTGCCACGTGTTGCGCGTTTCTCGAACGAAACCGGTCGTACCTTATTGGTAATCCCAAACCCCCTCGTTTCCCGATGTCGCATACGCCGCTGTTCCGTGTTGTTCGACTTCTCGTTTCGAATGCACGCCGGAACAATAGATGTTACGGTTGCGGGACAGTTAATCTCTGACACTCGCCGCGTAACGTGCCGCGGCTGGCAATACACCCGTCAGTTCCTGATTTCCCGCACAACGATTTCCTTCTATTTTTGTCTCGATTCCACCTTCCATTCGTTTCCTTTGCGTTTACTTCGAAAGTTTATGGTACAATAGAGAATATGTTAAAATCAAGGCCAATGGGAGTATACAGGTTTTGAAGATAATTCTAATATAATAAAAGTATTATTCTGTCTGTGAATGCAAAAATATGAAATACGTACCACTCGATGGCGAAAACATTCGAGTCCGGCACTGCAGCCTTCGATCTTCGGTTCGTTTGCGCCCTGCTTTTTCCCATTGACTACGCAGTAGATCGAGTGGAGATTCGCGAGATGTAAACATCAAATTTCACGCTGGAACGCTAAACCTCCGTAAAGATGGAGACCGTAAAGATCGACGCTGCAGGATTTCTGGTCGCTGGACTCTTAATTCGACTCGTTTAAACGGCAAAATGTAGGAATGTGCTGTAAACGACCGACGAGGGAACAACGACAATATGACACAAGGGAACTACGATCCGTTGTCCCTCTTTCGTTCCGTGTTTCTCATATTTTCAACCCCTGCCTGTATCCCTGCGGACAATTTTTCTGTTATGTTCGTAACCCACTTTTTCCGCAACCGGAACAAAGCCACGCGTAAAGTGACGTCGATGGTGTATGCCAAGGGAAGCTTTTAATATCAAACGCAAGCTCCGACTTTGTAGCTTGTTGCGTCGAATGCTTCGACTGGTACTATTCTTAAATGTTATTAGGTCCTCTGGAAGATTTAAAAATTGAAACATTCTCGTCCGATATTAAATTCGACGTCCATTCTACGCTGTATCTATAAAAATACATTAACGATACAGTTAACGATGCAGCCTTTTTTTTTCCAGTATGTAAAATTGATTTTAATAGCTTAAATGTACGAATAGAATATCGTTCGCGAACAAATAAAAATACGCAAGCTCTTGCTCGCGCGGATATTCGTCATTTCGCTGTTTTGCACCCCCGTGACTGGTCTGTGGCTTACGACAACCTAGTTTTTAGACTGAGCCAACGAGGCACGTTGGTGAAGTGACGTTTGTGAAACCGCGATATAATGAGGCCGAGATTTCAAGTGTCACCGGCAGCCTTTTCGAAGCGGTTCGCTGAAATATACCCGATTCTGAGTGGGTCGTTCGTTAACGACTGAAACTTTCCCCTTTCTCCGCCTTCATTTCTACCTTCATTCTGTTTGCCTTTTCTTCTTGTCCCTCTCTCTCTCTCCCTCTCTTTCTATTATTCTCATTTTTCCTTATTTCACTCGCAAGAATCTCAAGATTCTATTAAGAATGTGCTTTCAAATTTGAATTCATTGATCGTCGATATTCCATTTTAAACAAAGTAGTAGGATAATATATTTTAATTGCCTAATTATGAGAACGAAGGATGATATTATTTACCGGAATCAATTTACATGGAATATGATATCGAGCATGGACGAACAATCGGGAATAATTTGGTACAATCGATTCGTCGCGACCATTCAATTCGAAACTCGATTTACTTAATCGCCTTTGCTGGACGTAAATTCCCGCGCAGATATTTGCCTTTGAATTTTCAGTCCTCCATTAGCCTAACAAGTCCACGAAACGTTGCGCATTCCGCTGCGCCGTCGATGCAGCTTCACCTCGTGCAAACACGAATCTACATCCCGTTGAGTCGTTGGTTGCATTTCGCCAAACGTAAACGTCGACGACTGGCAATTGCATGGAAAGT